TGAAGACAGCAGACGATATCTGCTCGGGAGCGAATGGGTGGTGTATTCAATGACGATGATGAAGCTTGAAGTTTCCGAAAGTTGTTTGGTTGCGTGTTCAGATCACGTCGGGTAGTCACCACTGTGGCCGTGGAAGGAAAAGGGGAGATCTCCCGCCGGGCATGGTGTTCTGCCCGGGGAGCGACCAACACTCCATGTGATAGTTCGGAGAAGTTCTATATATACTGTCTATGATTCGGAATGTTAATAGCGCGATTTAGGCTTCGGTGTGTTTCGGTGTGCTAGTGGCGCGACGACAGCGCCGCTATAACCCAGTGGTTGCTTATTCAAATGATGATGGAACATTCACCCAGGAACTAGAAATAGAGCAAATGAGGAGTACATTGGAAGAGGCGATTATGGAAACGCGCAGTATGCCTATCGAAAATCTACCGCGACTTCCCCCGCATAGCCCTAAGCAAGCGGAATCGGGCTGTCGTGAGGGCTCTGAACCCAATGCTGGTTACCTATTTGGAAGCCAGCCGGGATCTTTGCGAAACGGACTCAATTCTCTTAGGCGCCGCACTGGCAGTCTGCCGTATTATAGGCGCCAAACTTTCCACGGCTGGACGCACTACTGGACAAAGTAGTGCTATCCCAGCCTGGAGAACAAGAATTGAAGAACGTATCGCAAAGGCTAGGGCCCTCATCGTCAGACTGACATGCTTCAGGTCAGGCAATACCAGGCCAAGGATTGTGCGCAACGTCAGGATGGCGTTTGCTGGGACAAATATTAGTTTGTCCCAGGTGGATATAATGCAAAAACTGACGGAGCGCATAGACAACCTGAAGCAGAGAATCGCTGCTTGAGGAAAGCGATTTCGGCGATATAACGAGAGGTCGACACGGTTTAACCAGAATCGTCTCTTCCAGAGTGGTCACAAGAGGCTCTATAAATCATTGGAGCGACCAATGGTAAATGAAACGGGCCCAGTACCGAATCAGGCCGACACGGTCGCATTCTGGCGCAGCCTGTGGTCAGAGCCCGTAAACCACAACGAGGGCCCTTGGACGGAAGTTGTGACGAGTCAGTGTGCGGGTATTACGCCCATGGACCCCGTCACCATAACGCCGGATGACGTAGCTGAGGCGGTCCGTAGGGCCCCGAACTGGAAAAGTCCGGGACTCGACGGGCTGCCTCACTACTGGCTGAAGGGGTTCGTGGTGTGTCACACTGTGCTCGCCCGACAGTTTCAAGAGGTTCTCAACCAGAAATCGCTTCCGAGCCTCTTCACTACTGGGATCCCCCATTTGGTTCCTAAAGGCCAGGGTACCACAAACCCGAGCAAATACCGCCCCATCACATGTCTACCGACCATATACAAGACACTAACATCCATTTTGAGCGCGAGAATCACTTGTCACCTGGACTCAAATCAGGTGATGTCGCGCGCTCAAAATGGATGTCGGGGCGGCGGTCGTGGAACCAAGGAACCACTCCTCATTAACGTGGTCATTGGCAATATGGTGAAACGCAACCGTCGGAACTTCTCCGCTGCCTGGATAGACTACAGAAAGGCATTCGACTCGGTGCCCCATACATGGCTAAAGAGAGTCCTCGAACTGTACAAGATAGACTGTACAGTTCGAGACTTCCTCGAGCAGTGTATGGGGCAGTGGAGTACAATCCTCTGTCATCTGGGCGAGCGGATGACGGCTGCGGAAAGCCGCATAATGATAAGAAGGGGTATATTCCAGGACGACTGTCTGAGTCCAATCTGGTTCCGCCTCTCTTTTAACCCTCTCAGTACTTTACTGGAGGGCTCCGGGAGGGGATTTCAGCTTCGGAAGGGAGGTACAAAAGTGACCCACCTTTTTATATGGTTGACCTCAAATTATTCGCCTCCAGTCGCTCCCATCTTATGGAATTGCTAAACATCACTTGTGAATTTAGCAATTCTAGTGGAATGGAGCTGGGGACGGATAAGGGTTCGATCCTCCATGTTGAAAGGGGAAGGGTTGCTAACTCTGAGGGCATAGACTTATCTATGCCCGTCAACTTAAGGGCCCTTTCCGAGGCTGAAACATACCAATACCTGGGTATGTCACAGAACATAGGTATCGATGAGGCTGGTATAAAACAGTCAGTTTGCGACGTGTTTTATGCACGCTTGACCAAAGTCCTTAACAGCCTTTTGTCCGGTGTGAATAAGACACATGCATATAATTGTTGGGTCATGCCGTTCCTTATGTATACCTTTGGCATACTCAGGTGGAGTCAGACTGAACTTAACGCCCTGGATAGAAAAGTCCGCTCTACAATGACGTCCCATAGGATGCATCATCCGAGATCGTCGGTAATGAGGCTGTACTTGCCGCGAAAGCATGGTGGGCGTGGCTTCTTGAGCGCGCTCACCATGCATAATCGCGAAGTGTGCAGCCTCCGTAAATACTTCCTGGCGACATCGGATGATCCATTCTATAAGAACGTCATTTCTTGTGATAAAGGACTTACCCCTCTATCCTTAGCCAACAAGCAATGGCAAGACCCGGCAGTGCAGACAATTTCCGACCGAGAGACCGTATGGAAGGAGAAGGAGCTCCACGGGAGGTTCTACAAGTCTCTACATGGGCCTTTCGTAGACACAGTAACCTCCCTCTACTGGTTACGCTTTGGTGACCTCTTCGGGGAAACCGAGGGTTTTGTCTGTGCAATACAGGATCAGGTTATTAAGACCAACAACTATCGGAGATACATCCTAAAGGATGGCACCATCGACATCTGTCGAGCTTGTCGCCATCCCGGTGAGTCACTTAGCTATGCCATCTCCGGTTGTTCGGCGCTTTCTAACTCTGAGTACTTGCACAGGCACAACCTAGTAGCCAGAATTCTACACCAGGAGCTCGCTCTGAAATCGGTCTCGTGGACCGGAAATTGCCGTATTACAAGTACTTGCCGGAAGCCGTGCTCGAAAATGATCGCGCCAGGCTCTATTGGGACCGGGCCATCATCACAGACAAGACTATTCTTGCGAATAAGCCTGATATTGTGCTGATGGACCGGGCACAGTCAATGATATTTTTGGTCGACATTACCATTCCGTGTAACGAGAACCTCGTGAAAGATGAAACAGATAAGCAAACAAAATATCTGGACCTGGCTCACGAGGTGACCGACATGTGGGGTGGTCTGCCGACCGAAATTATTCCTGTAGTCGTCTCTGCAAACGGGCTAATCCCAGTCAGCCTCTCGGGTCATCTGAGGCGGCTGGGACTACGTGGCGGACCGCTCCAGGCTCAAATGCAGAAGGCGGTGCTCCTCGATACCGCCCGCATCGTCCGCCGGTTTCTTTCCCTTTCCCCCTAACCCTCGGCCGTTTGGTCTCCCCTGCCGAGGGCCTCCATCTGGTAGGGCTTTTATTTATTTATGTATTTTTATATTTATTTTATGTTATTGTTATTTATGTATATTTATCTTTTCATTTCCATTTATAATTATATATTTATAGAACACAACCAGATGAGAAAACTATATTGATACCCCCACATAATAATAATTATAACCCACGTAGATACAGCCGCCTCCCTCAGCTGGCTTCGTTTCGGTGACCTCTTCGGGGAAACCGAGTGTTTTGTCTCTGCAATACAGGATCAGGTTATTAAGACCAACAATTATCGGAGATACATCCTAAAGGATGGTACTGTCGACGTCTGTCGAGCTTGTCGCATTCCCGGGGAGTCACTTAGGCATGTCATCTCCGGTTGTTCGGCGCTTTCTAACTCTGAGTACTTACACAGGCACAACCTAGTAGCCAGAATTCTACACCAGGAACTCGCTCTGAAATACGGTCTCGTGGACCGGAAATTGCCGTATTACAAGTACTTGCCGAAAGCCGTGCTCGAAAATGACCGCGCCAGGCTCTACTGGGACCGGGCCATCATCACAGACAGGACTATTCTTGCGAATAAGCCTGATATTGTGCTGATGGACCGGGCACAGTCAAGGATATTTTTGATCGACTTTACCATTCCGTATTACGAGAACCTCGTGAAAGCCGAAACAGATAAACAAACAAAATATCTGGACCTGGCTCACGAGGTGACCGACATGTGGGGTGGTGTGTCGACCGAAATTATTCCTGTAGTCGTCTCTGCGAATGGGCTAATCCCAGTCAGCCTCTCGGGTCATCTGAGGCGACTGGCACTCCGTGACGGACCGCTCCGGGCTCAAATGCAGAAGGCGGTGCTCCTCGATACCACCCGCATCGTCCGCCGGTTTCTTTCCCTTTCCTTCTGACCCTCGGCCGTCTGGTCTCCCCCTGCCGAGGGCTCCCATCTGGTTGGATCTTATTTATTTATGTAGTTTTTGTATTTATTTTATTTTATTGATATTTATGTACATTTATCTTTTCATTTTAATTTATAATTATATATTTATAGAACCCAACCAGGTGAGAAAATTATATAGATACCCCAATAATAATAATAAATAATAATAATAATAAATTGGCGTAGGGAACTTACGTAACGGTTATGTGACAAAACCGGTACGTCAGCGCAGTCAGTCAGCACCTTGCCGAGAGGTGTTAGTGCCGTGCCTCAGCAAAAATTTAAGGTGCAAAGGCCCGCTTGTGCACATGGCCTCACCATGAAACGGCGCCGGGTCTGGGCGTCTCCCGCTAAATGACGCCCACCACTATGGATGATGGAATACGGAAGAACGCGCAAAGGGCCGCTGCCTGGAGGTCGCCAGGGCGCGTCTGGAGCTGGCGCTGGACGCGACAGCATGCGAACCGCCAGCCGAGCGCGAGGTGCTGCACGACCACCCAGCAGCCCCTCGCATCCATCATCCCCATCAGCTGGTTTGGTGTCGGCAGGGTCTTTGCGGGCCCAGCAATCGGCACTCGCCACTGGTGGAGTACGCCGCGTGCGTTGGACAACCCAGATGAACAGCAACGCATTGCGGGCGTATTTTTAGGGTGAAAGGGAGAGAAACTGGAGGTTTTGCGTATCGGGCAAGGATGCATCGACTTTTTGCTGAGCTGGAGCCATCTGTAACTGTCACCGAGCAAAACCTGGCAGACCGAGTTCGGTATATCTTGCGCTCAAATACATTTGATGTCACCGACCTCGAACGGCTACGACGTGAGGCTGTTCCTTCATCGGGTGAAAATGCTGCGGCTGAGGATGCAGCGCCACAACTTGCTGAGCAAACGGCAAATGTGGATGCCACCGTGAATACGCCAGTTGTGGTTGATTCAAACGATGACGGAACAGTCGCCAAGGAACTGGAACTAAAGCAAATGAGGAGTACATTGGAGGAGGCGATTGTGGAAACGCGCAGTTCGCATCTCGAAAATCGACCGCGACTTCCCCGCATAGTCCTAAGCAAGCGGAATCGGGCTGTCGTGAGGGCTCTGAAGCCAATGCTGGTGACCTATTTGGAAGCCAGCCGGGACCTTTGCGAGACGGACTCAATTCTCTTAGGCGCCGCACTAGCAGTCTGCCGTATTATAGGCGCCAAACTTTCCACGGCTGGACGCGCTACTGGACAAAGTAGTGCTATCCCAGCCTGGAGAATAAGAATTGAAGAACTTATCGCAAGGGCTAGGGCCCTCATCGGCAGACTGATATGCTTCAGGTCAGACAATACCAGGCCAAGGATTGTGCGCACCGTCAGGATGGCGTTTGCTGGGACAAATATTAGTTTGTCCCAGCCGGATATTACGCAAAAACTGACGGAGCGCATAGACGACCTGAAGCAAAGAATCGGTGCTTGGGGGAAAGCGGATTCGGCGATATACCGAGAGGTCGACACGGTTCAACCAGAATCGTCTCTTCCAGAGTGATCAGAAGAGGCTCTACAAATCATTGGAGCGACCAATAGTAAGTGGAACGGGCCCAGCACCAAATCAGGCCGACACGGTCGCATTCTGGCGCAGCCTGTGGTCAGAGCCCGTAAACCACAACGAGGGCCCTTGGACGGAAGTTGTGGTGAGTCAGTGTGCGGGTATTACACCCATGGATCCCGTCACCATAACGCCGAACGACGTAGCTGAGGCGGTCCGTAGGGCCCCGAACTGGAAAAGTCCGGGGCTTGACGGGCTGCATCACTACTGGCTGAAGGGGTTCATGGTGTGTCACGCTGTGCTCTTCCGACAGTTTCAAGAGGCTCTGAACTAGAAGTCGCTCCGAAGCCTCTTCACTACTGGGATCACTCATTTGGTTCCTAAAGATCAGGGTGCCACAGACCCGAGCAAATACCGCCCCATCACGTGTCTACCGACTATATACAAGACACTAACATCCATTTTGAGCGCGAGAATCGCTCGTCACCTGGACTCAAATCAGGTGATGTCGCGCGCTCAAAATGGATGTCGGGGCGGCCGGTCGTGAAACCAAGGAACCACTCCTCATTGACGCGATCATTGGCAAAGTGGTGAAACGCAACCGTCGGAACTTCTCCGCCGCTTGGATAGATTACAGAAAGACATTTGACTCGGGCCCCATACATGGCTAAAGAGGGTCATCGAGCTGTACAAGATTGACTGTACAGTTCGAGACTTCCTCGAGCAGTGTGTGGGGCAGTGGAGTACGATCCTGTGTCATCTGGGCGAGCGGATGATGCGGAAAGCCGCATAAGGATAAGAAGGGGTATATTCCAGGACGACCGTCTGAGTCCAATCTGGATCCGCCTCCCTTTGAACCCTCTCAGTACTTTACTGGAGGGCTCCGGGAGGGGATTTCAGCTTCGGAAGGGAGGTACAAAAGTGACCCGTCTTTTCTATATAGTTGACCTCAAATTATTCGCCTCCAGTCCCTCCCATCTTATGGAATTGCTAAACATCACTTGTGAATTTAGCAATTCTATTTGAATGGAGCTGGGGACGGATAAGGGTTCGGTCCTCCATGTTGAAAGGGGAAGGGTTGCTAACTCTGAGGGCATAGACTTATCTATGCCCGTCAACTTAAAGGCCCTTTCCGAGGCTGAAACATACCAATACCTGGGTATGTCACAGAACATAGGTATCGATGAGGCTGGTATAAAACAGTCAGTTTGCGACGTGTTTTATGCACGCTTGACCAAAGTCCTTAACAGCCTTTTTGTCCGGTGTGAATAAGACACATGCATATAATTGTTGGGTCATGCCGTTCCTCATGTATACCTTTGGCATACTCAGGTGGAGTCAGACTGAACTTAACGCCCTGGATAGAAAAGTCCGCTCTACAATGACGTCCCATAGGATGCATCATCCGAGATCGTCGGTAATGAGGCTGTACTTGCCGCGAAATCATGGTGGGCGTGGCTTCCTGAGCGCGTTCACCATGCATAATCGCGAAGTGTGCAGCCTCCGTCATTACTTCTTGGCGAGATCGGATGATCCATTCTATAATGACGTCATTTCTAGTGATAAAGGACTTACCCCTCTATCCTTAGCCAACGAGCAATAGCAAGCAGTACAGAGCATTTCCGACCGAGAGACCGTATGGAAGGAGAAGGAGCTCCATGGGAGGTACTACAGGGCTCTACATGAGCCTCACGTAGATAAAGCCGCCTCCCTCAACTGGTTACGTTTCGGTGACCTCTTCGGGGAAACCGAGGGTTTTGTCTGTGCAATACAGGATCAGGTTATTAAGACCAACAACTATCGGAGATACATCCTAAAGGATGGCATTGTCGACGTCTGTCGAGCTTGTCGCCATCCCGGGGAGTCACTTAGGCATGTCATCTCCGGTTGTTCGCTTTCTAACTCTGAGTACTTGCACAGGCACAACCTAGTAGCCAGAATTCTACACCAGGAGTTCGCTCTGAAATACGGTCTCGTGGACCGGAAATTGCCGTATTACAAGTACTTGCCGAAAGCCGTGCTCGAAAATGACCGCGCCAGGCTCTACTGGGACCGGGCCATCATCAAAGACAGGACTATTCTTGCGAATAGGCCTGATATTGTGCTGATGGATCGGGCACATTCAAAGATATTTTTGATCGACGTTACCATTCCGTATGACGAGAACCTCGTGAAAGCCGTAACAGATAAACAAACAAAATATCTGGACCTGGCTCACGAAGTGACCGACATGTGGGTGGTCTGCCGACCGAAATTATTCCTGTAGTCGTCTCTGCGAATGGGCTAATCTCAGTCAGCCTCTCGGGTCATCTGAGGCGACTGGGACTCAGTGACGGACCGCTTCGTGCTCAAATGCATGCAAGGCGGTGCTCCTCGATACCACCCGCATCGTCCGCCGGTTTCTTTCCCTTACCTTCTAACCTTCGGCCGTCTGGTCTCCCCCTGCCGAGGGCTCCCATCTGGTTGGATCTTATTTATTTATGTAATTTTGTATTTATTTTATTTTATTGATATTTATGTACATTTATCTTTTCATTTTAATTTATAATTATGTATTTATGGAGCCCAACGAGGTGAGAAAATTATATAGATACCCCAATGATAATAATAATAATGGCGGACGTTGTCAAAAGTAAATGATGCAGTCAGTACAAAATCTTAAAAATGAATTTTTGTAGCATATGTTTCAAATTCCCAAATAACAAATTCTCAACGCAAATAGATTTTACAATATCAATATAAATAAAACTTTGAAAAGCTGTGGATAAGAAACTAATTTCAAGAAAAATGTATTTCTTTCAAATTGACAACTGTCATCTAAGAAATTTTACAAACAGATTTATAAAATATTTAATTTAACGTTACATTATGCATCGAACGAGACGACAAATACGAATAATTACCGCCAACACCACAATTACACACGTAACATCGCCTACGGTGGGCTACACATCCATGGAATGTAAATTACCAGCGCGTCCATGTTGCTAGCTTCTCGCCGTTCCCCCCAGTGCCACAGGTGCCTGCAGTTCGGCCATACAAAACTAAGGTGCACTGCGGACCAAAGCTTCTGCTCACATAGTGCGAGCACAGAGCTCGATGTGAGCAATTGTCCTAACAAAGATAAGACCGACAGCCCAAAATGCATAAACTGCCACACACACAATACGCGTTTCAACACTAAACTGGACACTAAACACACGGCTAACTCCAACACCTGCCAACGCTTGCGAGCCATGAGGAGAAGATAAATAATCGTGTCGACTATGGATACACATAATAAATTAAAAATTTTACAGTGCAACCTCGACAGATGTAAGAATGCACAACATGAGATTCTTCTCTCCTTTATGGCCGGTGATTATGACATCGCCCTCATCTCCGAGCCATATATTGGTTCTGGAGAACAGGTAAAATCTACATTTGGAATTGACACATATCAATTTTTCACAGGCAACAAGATTAAGGCCTGCATCCTGGCAAAACCAGGATGCGGATCCATCTTGGGACTATCGCAATACTCTACATTCAACTTCTGCGCAATAAAAATCACGTTTGGTAATCGCAATATTTATATTGCGTCCATATACGTGGAACCCAATATTGACGAATCAAATACGCTCGATAAGCTTGACGTCTTTCTTAAAAACACAGGCGATTCTCATAAGATAGTGGGGGGCGATCTCAATGAGTGGCACCCGATTTGGGGAAGCGTAAAATCAAACCTAAGGGGCAACGAAGTTATAGATATAATACGCAGCAATGACATGTATGTATGCAACGTTGGTAACATCCCTACGTTTGAAACGGTCACCCACGGGCGACATGGCTCTTCAATAATCGATCTCACATTTGCTTCCGGCTCCATCATCGATAACATCTTGGAGTGGCGTGTCAACTTAAACATTTCACCAATTTCCCAGCATAATGCAATAGACTTTGACACATCTAACACCACACATACATATCAAAAATCCACTTTCCTGTACAAATCTAATAAAGCTTGTTGGCCTATCTTTCTTAGCCTATCACAGACAGCCAGGAGACTGCCAAAGCACTTCTTGACCACTTCTACCCAGATGACTCACCAGACACCTTAACGCGACATCACGAGCTCATATCAGAAATGACCGACCTTCCTCAGTCCCACGATGATCCTGCCTTCACCCAGGAGGAGGTGTTAGAGTGCTTAAAACAAATGAGCCCCAAGAAGGCTCCCGGACTTGATAACTTCACATCCGACATATGTCAGACATTTGCAACATATTACCCTAGACTCCTGACAGATATACTGAACCGTTGTCTTACACTCCAACACTTCCCTGACCAGTGGAAAACAGCATACGTAAAAATTATCCCGAAACCGGGCAAATCCGACTACAGCGCATTAGAGTCCTTTCGTCCAATAGGACTTCTACCTGTGTTTGGCAAACTGTTGGAAAAGCTTTTTATCAAAAGGGTCGTATACCACACGCAGCGAAACAATCGACTAAACAAATTTCAGTTCAGTTTCCGGGAACAGACAAACACGTGCGAAGCCATTCACACAGCTCTTAAAATAATTAAATTAGCCAAATCAGAAAAACACCTCAGCATCGCGATATCTCTAGATATTAAAGCAGCCTTCGACAACGCTTGGTGGCCTGCACTCTTCCACCGGTTGCGGCATATTCAATGCCCTAATAACATCTTTGGACTCATCCAGGATTATGTCCGCGATTGGAAGGTCATCCTTGACCATGCGGGGAGGCGAGTCACCAAGACGATGTCTAAAGGCTGCATACAAGGTTCCACGTGTGGGCCTGTTCTCTGGAATATCATACTAGACGAGCTGCTCGATGCGAGGCTTCCAGCGGGCTGTCACATACAGGCTTTTGCGGATGATGTCTTGCTGGTTGTCACGGCCGCGAGTGTCGGCGAGCTGGAGAGTGCTGCCAACTTAGCTCTCCACCATATAGTCGAGTAGGGAAGGAGCGTCAGCTGACCTTCGGTCCCACTAAAACTAAGCTCATTGCCTTCACTCCCAAGGCTAAGGTAGCCAGCATTAACATGGACGGACACCGTCTTTCCTTTGTGCCAGATGTTAAACTGTTGGGAGTCATCTTAGACGAAAAACTAAACATTGGGAAACACGTGAAACAGGTTATCAACAAGGTCGTGCAAATCTTCAACACACTTTGTATGTACTCGAGACCCACATGGGGAGCCCATCCTGAGAACATCAGTACCATTTACCACCAAGTGATCGTGCCAACTATCACCTACGCTGCTGGAATTTGGGGACACGTTGCCCAGAAAAGGTGCATCAGGATGGCACTCGGGAGCATGCAGCGCGGATTTGCCATTAAGGCTATTAGGGGATTCCGCACGGTATCTTCATCCGCGGACCTGGCGTTAGCCCAGTTTATGCCTCTGGACCTGAAAGTGCGGGAAGTTTGCGCTGTGGAAAGAGCTCGGCTTCTGGGTACCTCTGACTACATCCCCAGCGACATCCCTCTGGAAAAACCAACTCCCGTCTCTGAACTCCTGCATCCTGCCCAACGTATTTCCTTTATTCCTAAAATATTTACAAACTTCACATCTACGGGATCTGCATCCGAACAGACGACACATTTTATATTCACTGACGGTAGTAAGCAGGAAGACGGTGCAGTGGGAGCCGCTTTCGTGGGCTATCTCCCTACTATTCTTAATCAAGTGGCTTACATAAAGAAGTTTAAATTGCACAACACGTGTACAGTATTTCAAGCGGAGCTGTTTGCCATTCTGCAGGCATGCAGGTGGATCAAAGAACACAAATGTGTATATTTACGTGTATTATTACACAGTCATCTATACAGATTCACTCTCATCTATACACGCTGTACAAAACAGAAGCAACACACACCCCATCATTACACAAATACACAAAACTATACACGAGTACCGAGAAACAGGCATCATAGAATTGGGATGGGTCAGGAGTCATTCTGGTATAGCTGGCAATGAGGCAGCTGATAAGGCTGCGAATGCTGGCTCCAAGTTGCGCAAACAACCTGACTACTTGGCCTTTCCCGTTTCATACCTCAAACACACAATCAGAACTCAAAATCGCGCGACCTGGCAAGCTAGGTATTATAGTGCAGAGCAGGGCCAACATACCAAACGACTGCTTCCAACACTGGAGGATATCGAGAAGTTACGCACTATCACCAAACCCAGTTTTTACCTCACCCATGTGCTCACCAACCATGGTTTTCACAAAGCTTATATTTATCGCTGCAAAATAATTGACAATAATTATTGTCCTTGTGATAACGTCACCCCACAAACTCTGGAACATCTCACTGAGCATTGCCCAGCATTTTCAGTGCAACGATTAAATCATGTCATACTTTGTGAAAATTTAAGAACTCCTCCATTTAACTTAACCGCATTAATGAAGAAGGAGTCCCTTTTGGACTCTTTTATTCAATTTGTTAATAACATTTTTAAAAGACTACAGAACTTCAACAAGAACTGTGCATCTGTAAATAGCAATAGTAATAGTTAGTAACTAAGCAACCACTTCTCTTTAATTTGTTTTCTTTATTTATTCTATTAGATTCAATTAATAATTATTGTATGTTGTAATTGTTAAACGTTTGATTATCATTAGAATTAAGATCCTTTGAGCTTTTAATATTTTAATTTTCACTGTTATCAACCCTATTGTACTCACAATTTTTATTCATGTGCCTAGAACTAAGATTGTTTATTTCAATTAATTTCATTGTCATTATATTATTTTATTATATCACTGTTACTATAAAACGTTTAGAATTAAGATTACTCTATGAGTTCGTTTCCTCCCTTTTTGCTGTTTTTATACAACGTTTTCTGTGTTTAGAATTAATATTACTTAATTGTCATTATACTATACTTTTTGCTTAGAGTCAAGATTACTCTTTGTTGTAGTATTTAATTCATTTTATTCTTTCTTTTTTGTATTTTCATCACTCTTATTTTTCTTTTCTGATGTGACTACGAAAACACAAGAATATCTATGATAAATAAAATAAATAAATAAAATAAAATAAAATAGCCTTTATTTCTACTACAATACAAACTTGACTTATGATTAATGTAGGTAATAATAGTAAAGAATAGTTAATATGCATTTTTTTACGTATAATAATGTATGTATAAATATGACTTAGTTAATGTTAGTAGTAGTCGCCTCTGCGGCGTAGGCCTCTCCCAAACCTTTCCACATATCTCTATCCCGAGCCACTCGCATCCATAGCGGTCCACATCTCTGATTAAAAATATCTCTCCACCTTTTACTAGGTCTCCCTTTATTTCTTTTTTTGTATCCATTCTGTTAAACGCTTGGTCCATCTGTTATCATTCATTCTACAGATGTGTCCTGCCCAGTGCCATTTCAGTAGTCTTGTTCTTTTTCTTACATCTATTATTTTAGTTTTTTTTCTGATGTGGACGTAAACCTTATCTGATATTTTTAGACCAAGCATGCTTCTTTCCATTTTACGTTGACATATAGCAATTTTTTCTTCGTCTTCTTTTCTCAGTGACCACGTCTGGCAGCCATATGTCAGGCATGGCAATATCGCTACTTCGTAGAGTTTTTTCTTTATATTTATACTAATATCTTTATTTTTCATTATTTCTTTCAATCTCCAGTATTTCTTCCAGGCTAGAGTTATCCTTCTTTCTATTTCTTTTTCTGTATTGTTTACGAATGACACTAGCTGTCCTAAATATACATATTCCTTTACATATTCAATTTTTTCATTAGCTATTCTAATATCCTGAGGTAGTCCGTTGGTTAAAATCTTGGTTTTCATCGTGTTCATTGACAATCCCACCTTTTTACTTTCCATTGCTAGTTCGAACACCATATTCTCCAATTCAGTAGCGCTTTCTGCGAAGACCACTATGTCGTCCGCGAAACGCAAATGGTTCAGTAGTTCTCCATCTACCTGTATTCCTTTCTTTTCCCAATTTAGACGTCTGAAGATAGATTCGAGCACCGCTGAAAATAACTTCGGGGAGATAGGGTCTCCCTGCCTTACTCCTTTTTGTATAGGAAATTCTGTACCTTCCTGTTCTAGGCGCACTTTAGCGAAACATTTTGTATATATACTCTTAATTATATTTATATATTTCTGATTGACACCTTGTTGTATAAGTGATGTCCATATAGCTTCGAATTGTAAAGAATCGAATGCTTTTGTGTAGTCTATAAAACACATATATAACGTCTTCCCATATTCCTTTGCTTTTTCAATAAGTTGGGTTATAACTTGTATGTGATCTACAGTCGAGTAACTTTTGCGAAAACCTGCCTGTTCCCGCGGTTGGTTTTCATCTAGACTGTTTGTTATCCTATTTAATATGATCTTTGAAAAAATTTTATATAAATTTGACATGAGACTGATTGGTCTATAGTTCCCTAGATCACTTCTATCTCCTTTTTTGAACAGTAATATGATTGTAGATTTTGACCATTGATCTGGTGTGTTTTCAGTTCTAAGTATGTTGTTGAACAATGTTTGAAGAGGTTCCAAAAGTGTAGCGATTAGCGCTTTAAGAACTTCGTTAGCTATATTGTCACTTCCTGGAGTCTTGTCGCTTTTTTGAGATTTTATTGTGTGTTCGATTTCTGATCTGAGAATGATTGGTGTTTCTGTGTATGCATTCAATGTATTATAATCGTCTGTTTTATAATCGTCTGTTTTTTCACTTAAGAAGGAGCAGCTGTTATCTGTGGTGGTATATAGCCTTTTATAGAATTGTGTGGCTTCGTTTATGATATCAGGACGTCGTGATTGCATAATTCCCTGTTTGTTTTTCAGTTTTCCTGTCCACTCTGACTTGTCGCTCAACTCTTTATAAGCTTTACGTAGAGCCCCTGTCGTACCTATGAATTTTTCGAATGTTCTTTGTCGTATTCTTCTTTTTTTGTTGGGTAATGTTTCTGTTAATTTTTTTGCTTATTCTTGTTATTTCACATTTTAATTCTTTTGTTCTTTTCTTCTTGTATAATTCTTTTCTCTGTTCTAAGAGATCTTTTGTTTCTTCGTTTATATATTTGTTTACATGTTTCTTTTTCCGTGACAGCTGTTTCAAAAACTCTTGCAACTCATGTTCTAACTTATCATATTGTTTTTGGACCTCTGTTTGTGTACTAACCGCTTCTATAAATTTATTTCTCCAGTAGTTAGCGTTGTCTTCTGAAACATCTATTGATTCTCTAGTGTAGACGGCAGAGTTTAGCTTCCTTCTTTTTGATTTTGAGGTCAATAATATTTCACATCTTATCATCCTGTGATCAGAATTGAAGTTTAAGTTTTTTATTATATCGAAATTCTTTATACTGGTCGGTTGATTTGTTAATATGTAGTCAATTTCGTTAAAATGTTGACTATCTGGGGACCGCCATGTCCATTTTTTGTGTGGTTTGCATGGGAACATGCTGTTAATGAAGTAGTAATCATTTTCGAGTGCAAATTCTACTAGTCTCTGGCCGTGTGGGCTTCTTTTCCCATGTGCGTATTGTCCAATATTCTTTCCTTCGTTTTTTCGAGCTTTCCCAATTTTCGCATTGAAGTCTCCAAGTAAAATTATATTTTTTGTGTGAATAGAATCTACGGCAGATTGCATTGTTGTATAAAAATGCGCTATGTCTTCTTTAGTGCATTGCTCTGTGGGGGCGTATGATTGAACGAGTGACCAGGTAGAGTTATCAGATGTTTGTATTTCAAGTAACGATACCCGATCCGAGAAACTTTTTATATTCACTATATTATTCTTTAAATGTTTTTTAATCAAGAACCCCACTCCATTTCTTCCGTTCGTCCCACATGTATGAAATAAGATAAAATCGGTGTGTTCCTCTATTGCTTTCTTTTCTCTTCTTGTTTCACATAAACCTATAATGTCCCATTTTATTGACATAACAGCGTATTTTAATTCTTCTATTTTGCTGTCCGATAATAAGGTCCTTACATTAATACTTGCTACATAGAAATTTTGTGGATTTTGTTTTTTGGTTATATTTTTGTTTCTAATCTTGTTTGATTGTTTTTTATTGTGATTTAGGAGGTGGTGGTCTGACTCCTCCACGGTGACCAGCCGGCTTGGGGGAGGTAGAGAGGTTGAAGAGGCGCTTATTAATTTTTTGAAAGATCTTCCACATTTTCAGTTGGTATTGCTCGATTATTGAGATTCAGCTGCGATGGGCGTAGGAAACTGGTTATGGTGTGTGGCTTATTTTTTTTTGGTACTTGTTTTGACCTTTCGTGGTCATATTCTTTTGCAGTTTCCTTCTCTGATTCTTCAGGTGACTTAGACATAAAACGTTTCTTTATGTTTCTGTTTCTTTCTGTGTGTGTATGTACTTCAGATTCAAGTGGTTTTAGTGTCACAATTTTGTCGTAGCGTAAAGCCACTCTTTTTCCTGACTCTCTTTCGCGTTTAAGGTCTTCTTGTAACTCTTTCCGTTTTTGTAAGACGCTAGGTGTAAAATATTCTTTCAGGTAAATATTCGTACCCTCTAGCGATTTTTTCTTTTTAAGTATCTCTATTTTCCTGCTTGTTGTTGTTATTGTGACAACCACTGGTCTGACTTTTCCTGATTTTTTCCCCATCCTATTAACGTGTTCAATTTCCCATTTATGGCAAGGTATTTTCATATTGTTATTAATGATATCTAAAACAATGGAGAGTAAACTTTCATACCCTTTTCTGTTTCTTCGATCCCAAAAAATATAACATTTTTTCTTCTGAGCTGCTTATCTAAGATTTCTATAGTTTTTTGTTGTTGTTCAATTTTCATTTCTAACTGTTTTGTTTTATTTTCAAAAATTAGAAATTTTTCTTCTACGTTATTATTTATGGATTCTTTGATATTTAGCTCCATCTCTTTCATTTCTTGTTTGGTTTTTGATATTTCATTTTGTATATTTTGTAAAATTTTTATGACCTCTTCCATTGTAAACGCACAAAAACACGCCCTCTATTGGAATTGCAACAAAATGTTTAGTATTAATTGATTGCGCTTGCACTTGCTTGCAAAAGGTTTGAATCGTATTTTGTAGATAGTTCTGTTGTTTACCGATAGATGGCGCTATTGTGCGTATTTTGATTGCAATGACTTTTACTTTTTTCCTGGGTTTAATTTGAGGTTATAACATAAACAAGATTTGCCAAACCTCTTTTTTTACCTTTATTATTTGTTTGGATTTCAATAACCGGTTTAGCTGTTGATCTTGCGTGTTGATTTCTTCAAGATTTCACAATAGAAGCGTCTAGCTTTGAGTTTAACTCTCAACGGTTTTTCGGATATTTGTACGTGAATATCAATTTTGTGAAGCACTACGAAAACACAAGAATGTCTATGATAACCAAATGATAATTTTATTAGAATAATAACTATGTACAAAAATTTCAAACTCTTAAACAAATTATATTAATATAAAGAGAAGGCATACGCAATATGTATCAAATAGCAGAAACGCGTAGCCTTCTACATGTGTCATAGAAATAAGTAATAAAAAAATGTTTAAAAAGTGTACAAAACTGTGAAAACTGCCAATATACTCCTGTTGGTGGGGATGTACCCACCGGCGGAAACCATAAAAAAATCCAAGAGGCACAAGAAGAACCCCCGTACCATCTTTGAGGGGACGAAGAGCACCAGCGGCTGGCTTGGGACCTGCAGGAATTACCATCCTACATGAGGACCCCGCTACTGATGGTGCAGTGCGACGACGCATGCGCTGGACTAAAGAATTAAATATAAGTGTTATGCGCGCGAACTATAAGGCTACCAAAGGAGGAACCAATCTTACATCTTATCGCCCTAAAATGCTGTCTGAATTCCAACAGCTACAACCCAACCTAACAAACTTAACTGCCCAAAGACTTTCAGATCAAGTACGTGTCATTCTAAGTCGTAAGATTTTGGACGACAGATTAATTGAACAACTTTACAGTGAGTACTCAACATCTACTATCAATTCAATTCCTGATTCCCAACTAACACTTCCAGGTGAGACTGATGACTTAAATGTAAATATCAGTAACCATAATATAAATATTACTAACTTAAATAACGAAAAAGTAGAGCAAAATTGTTTTGATATAGATGTGAGTTCCAAAGACAGCGAATATATGAAAAGGACTTATGAATGTTCCCTTCTGGAATATAAAAATACACCTATAGAAAATAGACCGAAACTACCTAATCTTCCTAACAACAAAAAAAACTATTTTAACAGTAGCATCAATGAATATTCTATGTAAAGATTATTTTGAAAAAAGTAACTCTATTTTGGAAACTATGTCTCTTCTATACTGTTGTGCCCATGCTATATGTATGATTATGAAAATTCCTGTCATTTCAGTACAAAATTTTAAGAAAAATAATACAGAACCTAAATGGAAACAAAGAATTCAAAAACGAATTGACAATACTCGCAAAATTATAGGAAAATTAATAAGCTACCAAACAGGTAACAGACGTAAAAAAAATAATTACTTTAGTAAATAAAATCGCTAATGAAAATGATATTAGCCAATCAGATCCCCATTTTCCGGATAAAATTACTGAATTAATTGATACACAAAAACAAAAGTTAAAAGCATGGGCCAACCGTATTAGACGATATTCAGAAAGATCTAAACGGTACTTCCAGAATCGCACATTCGAAAGTAACCAAAAGAGGGTGTATCGGTCTTGGGAGAACACTACAACTAATAGTTGTACTCATGGCAGCCCAAGCTTAAATGAATGTCTAAATTTTTGGAAAAGTATGTGGTCTAACGAAGTTTCTCATAATGAAGGTGAATGGATTCGTGCAACCGAACGTAAGTTTTCTAATTTGGCTAACATGGGTTCTATTTCAATTACTGCTGAAAATGTACACTCAATTACTCGTAGATTACACAATTGGAAATCACCTGGACCAGATGGTTTACTCAACTTTTGGCTGAAATGGATAACAAGTAGCCACGTGCGTTCGGCTGCACAGATTCAAGAAGCCATTGAGTGTTGTGAGCTCCCGAGACTTCTTACAACTGGTATTACCCACTTACTATATAAAAATGGAAACACCACTGAACCTAAAAATTACCGACCTATATATAACATGCCTTTCAACTGTATATAAATTAATAACTGCAATTTTGAATAACAAGATCTATAAACATTTGGAAAATAATAACATTATTTCAACTGCACAGAATGGATGTCGGAAAGGGTCACGTGGTTGTAAAGAACTTCTTCTCATTGACACTGCTATTTGCCGACAAGTCTATCGTAATCGCAAAAACATGTCCGCTGCTTGGGTGGATTACAAAAAGGCATAAGACTCTGTTCCACATTCATGGCTAAAGAGAGTTTTACAAATATATAAAATAGATGACAAAATTTGTAAGCTTTTAAGTAAATTAATGGGTCAGTGGAACACTATCCTAAATCTACCAGGTGAGTGGCAAAGTAGTTCGATAGACTCTATAAATATTAAACGGGGTATATTCCAGGGAGATAGTTTGAGCCCAACTTTGTTTTGTTTAGCCCTGAATCCTTTAAGCACTGCTATTGAGGAATCCGGATTAGGGTTTCGGTTTCGAAAAGAAAACTCACCGATCTCACATCTACTTTATATGGATGATCTCAAACTATTCACATCAAAAGAGAGTAATCTACTATTATTGTTGAAATTAACACATAGTTTCAACAATGATATTAGAATGGAATTTGGAATAGATAAATGTGCTGTTATCAACGTAAATAGGGGCAAAATTAAAGATTGTAATAAATTTGCTATTACAAATGACTTACACTTCAGTTCTCTTTCTGAAACAGAAACCTATAAATACTTGGGCATGGCAGAAGCACTAGGAATTAATGACAAAAATATTAAAGAAAATTCAAAAAGTAAAATTTATGTCAAGATTAAAAAAGTTATCAAAAGTCATTTATCTGGCGGAAACAAATAGAATGGAATTTGGAATAGATAAATGTGCTGTTATCTACGTAAATAGGGGCAAAATTAAAGATTGTAATAAATTTGCAATTACAAATGACTTACACTTCAGTTCTCTTTCTGAAACAGAAACCTATAAATACTTGGGCATGGCAGAAGCACTAGGAATTAATGACAAAAATATTAAAGAAAATTCAAAAGTAAAATTTATGTCAAGATTAAAAAAGTTATCAAAAGTCATTTATCCGGCGGAAACAAAATTAGAGCATATAACTCCTGGGTAATACCTAGCCTTCTATATACTTTTAGTGTTACAAGGTGGTCTCAAACAGAATTGGATGACTTAGATAGACGAGTCCGTACATTAATGACTACACACAGAATGCACCACCCACGATCATCTGTCATGAGGTTGTATCTTGGCGGTGGTGGAGGAGGTGGACGGGGCTTATTAAAAATTTAAAAACCTGCACAACCGTGAAGTATACAACCTCAGAGACTATTTTTTTTGCATCATTACATTGGTTACAATTTGGTGACCTTTTTGCAGAAACTGAAGGTTTTATCTGAGCAATACAAGATGAAGTAATTAAAACGAACAACTACCGGAGATACATTCTGAGGGACGGCACAGTTGACATATGTCGCGCATGTCACCACCCTGGAGAGTCCCTCAGACATGTTATTTCCGGTTGTTCACAACTATCAAATGGTGAGTATTTGCACAGACATAACAAAGTAGCTAGAATAATACACCAACAGCTTGCCATTAAATTTGGCTTTACTCAACAGGACGTTCCATATTATAAGTATGAACCAAAGCCAGTCCTTGAAAATAGAAGTGTCACACTGTACTGGGATCGGTCAAGTATCACAGACAGGTTTATAGTGGCAAATAAACCTGACATTGTGGTGATGGACCGAACTACATGCAAGACAATGATAGTGGATATCAGTGTTCCTCATGACGAGAATCTCGTAAAAGCAGAGAATGATAAAAAAATTAAATATATTGACCTGGCTCATGAGATTGTCGCTATGTGGGCGTTGATTCTACTATTATTGTACTAATAGTTGTTTCAGTCAATGGGCTTATTGGTAAAAATATGGACGATTATCTGTCCAAGTTAGATTTGGGCAAATGGCTGAAGGCATTAATTCAAAAATCGGCCTTATTAAATACTGCTCGAATAGTAAGAAGGTTCCTATCTTTGGATGCCTAACTTCACCGATGGCTTAGAATTTCTCGCCGCGGTGGATAATAACCGAAATAATAATATTATTTATATAGATTGTATTTATATTTATAATATTATAGTTTTGTGATAATATATGTGATAAAAATAAATAATAATAATAATACCAACCCATACATGGCTAAAGAGAGTCCTCGAGCTGTACAAGATAGACTGTACAGTGAGAGACTTCCTCGAGCAGTGTATGGGGCAGTGGAGTACGATCCTTTGTCATCTGGGTGAGCGGATGATGGCTGCGGAGAACCACATAAGGATAAGAAGGGGTATCTTCCAGGGCGATTGTCTGAGTCCAATCTGGTTCTGCCTCTCCCTGAACCCTCTCAGTACCTTACTGGAGGAATCCGGGAGAGGATTTCAGCTACGGAAAGGAGGGACAAAAGTGACCCACCTTTTTTCTATATGGATGACCTTAAGTTATTCGCCTCCAGTCGCTCCCATCTTGTGGAA